GTATTGGCAGGTCAGTGTACCTTTCTGGGTTTAAAAGAAAGGCGACTTCTTGTGGCTTGCAGCCATTTCCTGTGACTCACTACCACTTGAAATTGTATTGTGTGAAGGGGAAAGTGCTCCTCAGCAGATTTCATGGAAGGAGATAATTTGTGAACAATTCAGGTGAGAAGTTCCATCCAGCCTGTGTAGCCTGAGGCGGGATAGATCTCATTGGTCAAGTCAGAAGACCTGGGTTTGATTTCTGGACCCAGCCTCAGTGCTTGCCTTGATAGGAATTATCACCCTTCCCATGTTTTAGTTTCATCCTTAATATAAAGAACGTGATGATAACTGCCCTATCTCTGTGGATTTCGATATCAAATAAAATAATACATTAAAAATGTCCTTTGTACTGCTGTTTCACATCATATTACCTTTTTAATCTTACCTCTTATAATTACCTGTTTTAGAAACATGGATTCAGTCACTGACTCATGAGAACTTTTCACTTTCAGGCCTCTACCTTGGTTTTGGCCTAGACCTTTTCTGTCTTTTCCTTATTTAAATTCCCCCTGTCTCTTTCCTTATTTAAATCCTAAATCTTAATGCCTCAAGAATCCTAATGAAGTAGTTTTAAACTAGGAAAATAGTCTTCATTTCCTTTTCTAAATGAGGAGCAGAATGTGATCTTGGGCAGGGTCCACCCCCAACTGTGGTGTCAAATTTATTTCAGTATGAATTTCTGTTAACAGCTTCACCTTTAGACCTGCCTGCAGCCAATCTCTCAGATCAGAGGTCAGAATTAAGCTTTTAATTTTGATCTTTGGGAGTACTCCTTGAGAAGCTCTAGATTTTCAGTATAAAAAGTTACATGGAAGGGAGAAATGGAAAATCCTTCAGGTGAGATGATTATTTTCAGAATTCTGTCATTTTGGGGGAAGAGTATTTGATGGGAAAGAGGAAAGAGAAAAATGACATTTTATGTCATAATAGAAATTTTAATAACTTCAGCTTCTAATTTTATATGTATGTTTAAAGTATAACTTTGATCATGAAAATTAAAACAAAATAATTCTTCACAATAGAAAAAACGAGTAAGAATGAGCTAGCTTGGCATGATCAACTAATTTTTGAGGTCACAATGGGGAAAGGTCAGTCTCTTCAATAAATGGTGCTGAGAAAACTGGATTTCCACATGCAAAAGAATGAAATTGGACCCATATCTTACACTATATACAAAAATCAACTCAAAATGGATAAAAGACCTAAATATAAGAGCCAGAAACGATAAAACTAGAAGAGAACATAGGGTGAAAGCCCCTGGACATTGGCCTTGGTGATGGTATTTTGGATATCACACCAAAAACTCAGGCCACAAAAGCAAAAACTAAAACATTTCTGCACAACGAAGTGAACAGACAAAATGAAACGGCAGCTTCATTTGGGAAAAAATATTTGCAAACCACATATCTGATAAGGGCTTAATACCCAAAATTTATAATGAACTTAAACAACTCAATATTGGAAAACCAAATAAATTGATTAAAAAATGGGGAAAAGACCAGAATAGACATTTCTCCGAAGAAGACATAAAAGGCCGAGCACCGTGGCTCATACCTGTAGTCCCAGCTACTTGGGAGGCTGAGGCCGGAGGGTCATTTGAGCCCAGAGGGGTGAGGCTAGAGTGAGCTATGATGATGTCACTGCACTCTAGCTGGGAGACTGAGCAAGATTGTCTCAAAAAAATTTTTTTTTACTAGTTTGAAAAAGGTTAACAGAATTGTTCTCTGCAAAATACTTCAGGATTCTCTCAAAAGATTCTAAGTGGGTTGTGTTTTGTTTGTTTTTTCATTCTTATGCTGCCATGATTCTTCAGTTATCTGTTTGCTCTCTTTTAAATTGTTTCATAGTTTCCAGATAAGCTTTTAAAAATATGCTGATTCGAACTGTGATATTCTAACATGTGTGTTTATAACTCAAGTTGTTTCTCTTCTTAAATTATTTCTAATTTATACTGATTTTCCTTTATATATGTGAGACTTAATAAGTCCTTTTTTGTTTTTTTGTTGCTCACAGCAACCTCAAACTCCTGGGCTCAAGTGATCCTCCTGCCTCAGCCTCCTGGGTAGCTGGGACTACAGGCACATGCCACTTTGCCCGGCTAATTTTTTCTATTTTTAGTTGTTTGGCTAATTTCTTTCTATTTATAGTAGAGACAAGTAAATCGGCCAGTAAATTCTTTTAAACAATTAGTACTGGGTGGCTCACACCTGTAATCCTAGCACTCTGGGAGGCCAAGGTGGGAGGATTGCTCAAGGTTAGGAGTTTGAAAACAGCCTGAGCAAGAGCAAGACCCCCGTCTCTACTAAAAATAGAAAGAAATTAATTGGTCAACTAAAAATATATAGAGAAAAATTAGCCGGGCATGGTGGCACATGCCTGTAGTCCCAGCTACTTGGGAGGCTAAGGCAAGAGGATCACTTGAGCCCAGGAGTTTGAGGTTGCTGCGAGCCAGGCTGACGCCATGGCACTCTAGCCCGGGCAACAGAGTGAGACTGTGTCTCATAAAACAAAAACAAAAACAATTAGTACTGCAATCATTATTACTGGACATTTATTGTTAACAAATGATAAAATCTTTCCTAAAAGTAATTCGAAGTAAACTGATACTTACTTAGAAAGATTGAAGAATGGGGTAGTCAAGTTGATTGGATATTTATAGAATTACCACATAAACCATATATAGGTTGGTATTTTAAAGATTGTATTTGCTACTAAAAATATGCAAAACACAATTTAATGACAATAGCTAACCTTTATTGAGCAGTTACTATATGCCAGGCTCTGTGTAAAGGAGCTAAGAATTTTTTTCATCAGATACTATCACCTGTGAGCATTATTCACATTTTTTAGATGAGGTCATCAAGTCTTAAAGAGGTTAAAAGACTTGTCCAAAGTCACACAGCTATAAAGTAACAGAGCCAAGGACTCCAATGTGGATCTAACTTCAAAACCCTAATTCTTAACAATTTTTCTGTACTTCTCTCCAAGATGTAGAATTCTGGGCTGATGTTGCTATCATGGTCCCTGAGAAAGTGGAATTCATTTGTAAAGTGCTGAAAGAAAAGAATGATCATTGTTAAAATTTCTATTGATCTGTCTTCAAGTTTACTGATTTCTTTCCTTTGTCATTATTATCTGTGCTTCTGTATGTAATACATCTTTTCCTCTGGCTTTTATGATTTTCTCTTTATCACTGGTTTTAACTGATTTGATTATTATGTACTTTGATGGGATTTAAAAAAATATTTATTCTGCTTGGGATTTGTTAAGCTTCTTGGATATGTGAGTTTATAGATTTTGTCAAATTTAGAAATTTTTCAGCTTTTATTTTTTCTTAATGTTTTTCATGTCCCACCCTCTCTCTTTTCTCTTTCTGAGACTCCAGTTGCTTATATGCTAGACTGCTTTCTGTTGTTCCACAGGTCACTGGTGCCCAGTTCAATTATTTTTAGCTTTTTTCTTTCCGTATATTATTTTGGATAATTTCCATGGATAGTCTGCAAGTTCACTGATCTTTTCTTCTGCAGTGTCAAATATGCTAATAATTTTATAATTATTTTACCATTCAAATGCTGTATTTTTCAATTCTAGAGGTTTCACTTGAGTCTTTTCTTTCATTTCTTTTTATAATTTTCATGTTTTCCTCTATCTTCTTGAACATGTGGAACATATTTATGATAACTATTTTAATGTCCTTGTCTGCTAATTCTATTATTTGTATTTATTTTGATTATATTGACTGATTTTATTCCTAGTTATAGATCCTGTTCTTCTGCTTCTTTGCATGACTGGCTATTTATTTAGTTCTTTATTTTTGATTGGATGCCAAACCTTGTGAATTTTACATCTTAGGGAGCTAGGTTGGTTTTTTTTCATAAGATATACTTTGTGCCAGCTGCAGTTAAGTTACCAGGAATTAATTGGATCCTTTTGAATCTGAATTTAAGTTTTGTTATGGTTATCCAGAGAAGCCTTCAGTCTAGGATTAATTTATGCTCGCTGCTAAGGCAATACACTTCTGAGAAGTCTACCTAATGCCCCAGGTATTAAATAGATCTTTCTGTTCTGTCCGGTGGGAACACGAACTATTCCCAGCCTTGTGTGAGCTTCAAGAATTGTTTGACCTTCCTTCAACATTCCAGTCTTCTTTCCCTCGCCTGGGTTAGTTGTTTTGTCTCATTCAGGCACAGATCAGCAAGGGTGCCTTTCTGTAGTTCTCCAACTTGTGCTCCTCTCTGCACAGCCGCCTCCTCTCAGGTCCTCTGCTCCACAAATGCTAGCTCCCTTGACCTTCCTGAAATGCTGATACATTTCTCCTCAGCACAGCAAGATTACTGGGCTCTGTTCTGGTCCCATTCCTGCACTGTGGTCTGGAAACTGACTCTGGCCTGTAAGCTGGAGCAATCATAGGGCTCACCTCATTTGTTTCCCTTCTCCCCGGGATCACAAGCCTGTGCTGCCTGCAGTGTCTGAGAACTATTGTTTCATGTATTTTATTGCCTTTGTAGTTATACAAGGTGGGAGAGCAAATCCAGTTCCTGATACTCCATCATCAATGGCAGCAAGTGTCTACAGTTTGCCTCTAAGGTCTTCTTTTTTCATAGTAAAGACGTATTGAATAATTTCAAAGCTGTGCCATATATGAATAGTATTATGTTAAAAGAGCCATGGACTAAGAATCAAGATCAGGGACCTAATCCTTGCTCAGCCATTTAACTTTGTGCTTCTCACAGTATGGACCTCTGTGACCCTCTACCCAGATGACTTAGAGCAGCAATTCTTTGAGTTCTCAATTTCACGTCTGTAGAAGGAAGGTTATCAATGTTCTTTATAACACATTGAGATGATACAAAGTGTGAGCCCAAGAAAATATGTTGATGGGCTTAGGTTGAGCTATTTTCACACAGAAGCTAGCTTGTTGTCACTTAACAGTCTTTATTATTTACATTTATTTTTAGGCACCATACTGGACATACCTATTATGTGCACTGGGACTCTTTATCTACCAGTCACTGGATGCTATTGATGGAAAACAAGCCAGAAGAACAAATTCTTGCTCACCTTTAGGGGAACTCTTTGACCATGGTTGTGACTCTCTTTCTACAGGTAAAGTAGTGGAGATATATAGTTGGGGTTTTTTGTTGTTGTTGTTGTTTGTTTTTGTACTGATACCCTGAAAATAAAATGAACTTAGCTGTTTGGTCAATTTTGGGGATAGATGTATACTTGGGAACAATTTTGAATAGTATGTTTAAAAAATATGTTCAAGAATTCATTCCGTGGCTGGGCGCGGTGGCTCACGCCTGTAATCCTAGCACTCTGGGAGGCCAAGGCAGCCGGATCACTCAAGGTCAGGAGTTCGAAACCAGCCTGACCAAGAGTGAGACCCCATCTCTACTAAAAATAGAAAGAAATTAATTGGCCAACTAAAAACATATATAGAAAAAATTAGCCGGGCATGGTGGCGCATCGTGTAGTCCCAGCTACTCAGGAGGCTGAAGCAGTAGGATTGCTTGAGCCCAGGAGTTTGAGGTTGTTGTGAGCTAGGCTAACGCCACGGCACTCTAGCCCAGGCAACAGAGTGAGAGTCTGTCTCAAAAAAAAAAAAAAAAACATTTCGTTAAGTGTACCTTATTTTAATGCCAGAATTATTCCCTTAAAACTCTGTATTTGTAAGCAGCACAGAGCAGTTATTTCATTAATTATTATTTTTTCTTAATGGTTCTTAAACCTTGTTTTCTTTCAGTGTTTATGGCAGTGGGAGCTTCAATTGCTGCTCGCTTAGGAACTCATCCTGACTGGTTGTTTTTCTGCTGTTTTATTGGGATGTTCATGTTTTATTGTGCTCATTGGCAGACTTATGTTTCAGGCGTGTTGAGATTTGGAAAGTAAGTATGTTTTTGTAAGTTGTACATTTAAAAATATAGTGGAATTCATTTTCACAATCTCTTATGTCATTTATCCATAATAAGGGGAACAAATCTTCAATCAGTAATTTAAATTGTTTTTTAATTTATTGGAACATCCATAAATACTACAGCTTAATTTAAGTCTTTTAGGTAATTTGCATATTATAAATAGTTACATTATTTGATAATTATTTGTCTTCTCCCCTTCTCCAGCTTACTAGTCCAAGCTTACAATAGACAGGAGAAAAAGAAAAATAAGGGACCCAAGTAATATAGAAAAAGGATATGCAGTAATTAAATAAGTAGCCCTTGTCTCATATAATAATGTGATATGGAGTCTGAGGTCCTTTTTTGGTCAAATCTTCATGTACCCAAAAAGGGGAACCCCCTTGACACCAGTCACCAACAAGAGATAACTGTGAGACTGTCAGCTGTGGTAGACAGTTGGTGAGATGTAAAAACACCTTGTAAATGCTACTGCTAAACATCAGATAATATGTATTCCTCTGGTGACACACCAGGAAATAGTGCACAAAGCTAGAGTGGCATTCTCTGTTCCTGTTTCTCATACAGCTTCTTCTCTGCCTGATCCTTTTAAGAACCATCTGCCATTTGCTCTTTCTTGGCTTTGGCTTCCCATGTCTGCTAATTCTTTTTAGCCCCACGTTGATGCTCCATAGGAGAAACAGTAGCTCTGAAAAAAATCTCTATTAATGATAAATGAGAGAAGAAGGTCAAAACTATGGAGCACTTAGCAGAGGACAGGCTTTAGGCAATTTTTCACATTGATTTGAAATTATGGAATAATTGTATTTACTACCTATGGAGCACTTGCATACTTCAGGCACTATCCTAAGTGCTTTACATGCACTATCTCTTTTATTCTTCACATGAACACTGTAAGATGGGTATTACCTCCACTGTACAAATGAGGCAGTGCAAATATACTGCCAGTAAGTGGTAGAGCCACGATTAAAACTCAAGTCTATTCTTTGGTGAATGTGTATTTAAAGAAAAAAAAAAAAAAAAAACAAAACTCAAGTCTATTTGACTTCCAACCCCACACTTGTAATGACTGCTGCTTAATACAATGGGATCAGCAATGTAGTAGTTGCTGTGGAAGGACACCAAATTCATTTAAGATTTAGTCCCTATGTTAGGAGCTATATGGAACACTTATTAAAAAGATGAGAAAATACTTCTGTGACACTGCTGATATACTCCATTCCAAGTATAAAATGACTTGCTTTAGGTTTCCGGAAGTACTGAAGAAATTCTAACTAAGGAGAAGGTAACTGTGGGCAGAATGAGGTTAAGAGGGTTTTTATGGAAAATGAGAATCTTTAGCTGATTCCTTACATTCTGATCAAGAGCCCACGGATCAAAAATTAAGAATCTGTATCTATTTAATTATTAGATTAAGATATGCTAAAATAGAAAAGCAGCTTTGCAAAGTATAGTGCATTTTAGTTAATTTGCTGAACTTGCTATGGTAAACTGGAGAAATAATGTAATGTTTTGGTTAATTGTCTTTATTGTTATTATTTAATGACTAATACTTGCCCTTTTTGATTCCTATCTTCATTAAAAATCTTTCTGAATTAGTTCATGTTTCTGGCCTAGTTTATACTCATCTGCTATTGATTATTGATTGAGAGCTTAGTATATGTGCTTAGAATTGGAGATACAAACATGAGTCACCTGTGGATGGGACTAGGCCAGACAGACTGGGGAAGAGCATTTTAGGCAAAAGCGTGAGGGAAGTACTCAGAACATTAAGGAAATGGCTAATGTAGTTCAGTGCTGAGCCTGTAGGGGAGTGAAAGAGATCCTACGGTGTCCCAGGGGTCAGCCACTTAAATACTAACTCCATATGGCATTTATCCTAACCAGTATATTTGTTTCACCTTGCCAAAGTAAAAATATCATTGAGCCATTGAGTAGGATAAATTGGTGGTCCTGCTTAAACCAACAAGAAAGATCTCTATGTAGGCCATCAACTAAGCCTCTGGAAATTCTTACAAACTGAACCAGTGTCTCTTTTCACTAGGATGGATTTTCTAAAAGTCTATCAATTTTTGAGTTTAATTTTTATAGTATTTGAATACAGATATATGAAACCAGGCCAAACAATCTCAGAATATACTGTAGAAATTTATTTCATGAATATATTCTTGGTTCAAGCCTGTTTTATGTTGTTTCCCTCTTTTCTAAAAGAATGAAGAAAAAACATGCCAAATGAGTTTTTTAATTGGGCTAAAGAAATTAAGGTTTTACTAATGTCACTATATTTTGCTACATATTCCTTTTTCCGAATGTCAAAGCCCTTTAAATCATTTTTTTAGTATTGATTCTGCTTTAAGCATAATACTTAAAAGTACAGGTTCAGGAATCAGACTGGGTAGAATCAAATTGTGGTTCCAACATACCAGTTATTTGGCCAGAAACATATTAAGTTCATTTTCTTTAGTTTCTTCCTCCATAAAACGGGGATAGAAAAAATTAGCCGGATAAGGTGATGTGTGCCTGTAGTCGCAGCTACTTGGGAGGCTGAGGCAGAAGGATCACTTGAGCCCAGGAGTTTGAGGTTGCTGTGTGCTAGGTTGATGCCTCTAGTCTGGGCAACAGAGTGAGAGTCTGACTCAAAAAAAAAAAAAAAAAAAAAAAAAAAAGAATACTGATGCAATATCTATACAATGAATTTGAATAAGTGCTTTTGTACTATTTATGCCAATATTTATTGAGCATCCATTATATGTCAGGCCCTGTTCTAGGTGCTGAGGTGAGAGTAAACAAAACAAATAAAATCCCTGCCCCTGTGGAGCTTACATTCTAACATGAGGGACATACAATAAAACCAACTAAGCATGTAAATGCTGCATATAATATGTTGGATGGTGATAAGTACTATGTGTCAAGAACTGTAAAGGGCCTGGGATTTTACCCTACTTAAAAGCTACCAAGCAAGCATATTAATGTTTCTTGGATGCTGGCAGAAGATACAACATCTGGGTCAGAGGCAGAGGACAGCTTCATTACGCAGGACAAAAGCAGTAGCCAGAGCTTCATGTATGTGCCAGGTTCCCATGTTCCCACCCTCCTGCAGTCTCGGGACCACACAGGTGGGCCTAGATGCATCCCTGCACATGCAGTGTGTTGCATTATGGCGGAGGAATACTGAGGAATCGCTCCATTTTATAGCAAGCAGAAGCAAGCCTGCTCTTTGTCTTGAGGAGATGTAACCTCCTTCAAAGTTGCTCACTGAATACACAACCCCGAGAAATGGCTCAGGTAAAAAGTATTCAAGGTCTTGCATTCTTGGCACAACCAGCAAGAAACATGCAGGGATGGCAGCATTCATGGCAGATTGCCTCTCCTAATTGTATGAATAAAAAGCAAGTAGGGAAGGAAGAGTGACTAAATACTGTTATATTTTTCTAATGAATATAGAAATGCTTTTCTATACTGTTCCATAGAACAGAAATACTATTCTGTTTTACCTGTGAATATTTTAATTGTTATATTTTATCTCTTGAAAATATGTAGATTTCAGTATAAATACATATTTGTTACCTTGAATTAGATCATTTAAACCACAAAATGTTAGTAGCTAATTTTAACTATAATTTTCAATTTTTAGTTTATATAATAAAGTTTATAGTGTTAATATAAGTTTAAGTAATATAAGTTTAGTTTAGTAATGATGCATTAATACTTTCCTTAGTACAGTTATGGAAAAATTACAGTTAAAATCTGGCCCTATTCAGTCACATTGTCTTTAAGAAAAAAAAAAAAAAAAAAAAAAATCTGGCCCTGTACTTATGCTTGCCATGTGAGATAAGGCATATCTTATTTATTAAATGTAGCAAGGGTCTTATGTAATTCAATAGCACAAAAAATGCTTAAAAGCTTAATTCTAGGCCGGGCGCAGTGGCTCACACCTGTAATCCTAGCACTGTGGGAGGCTGAGGCAGGCGGATTGCTCAAGGTCAGGAGTTCGAAACCAGCCTGAGCAAGAGCGAGACCCTGGCTCTACTATAAATAGAAAGAAATTAATTGGCCAACTAATATATATAGAAAAAATTAGCCGGGCATGGTGACGCACACCTGTAGTCCCAGCTACTCGGGAGGGTGAGGCAGCAGGATTGCTTGAGCCCAGGAGTTTGAGGTTGCTGTGAGCTAGGCTGATGCCATGGCACTCACTCTAGCCTGGGCAACAAAGTGAGGCTCTGTCTAAAAAAAAAAAAACGTAATTCTAAACCAAGCATTTTAAATTCAAGTCCAGTGTTAATTTGTATTGTGTGGTATTTTATTATTTACATGTGAATATTTATAAATTCAGCATTAATTTTCCTTTCTTTCAAAACCATGAGAATTTCCATATGGTATTAGATTCATTTCTCAAACTATCTGAAGTAAAGTACCAGTCCCTCTCCTCTCCCTCGATCCATCCTGGACTAATAATATGCATTTAAAAAATAAAAAAACAAAAAAAACTTATAAAATACAGACCTCAATATTTCATTTGATTCATAAGCAATATTATTCTGTCAAATTGCCATAAAAAGGCCAGGCACAGTGGCTTGTACCTATAATCCCAGCTACTTGGGAGGCTGAGACAGGAGGATAACTCAAGGCCAAGAGTTCAAGACAAGCCTGGGCAACACAGTGAGACCCTATCTCTGAGAATGAACAAATGAATGAATAAATAAAAAATGGATAAGAAAGTAACTTTTTTTTAAAAAAAAAAGGCCAGGTGTGGTGGCTCATGCCTGTAATCCTAGCACTTTGAGAGGCCAAGGTGAGAGGATTGCTTGATGCCAGGAGTTGGAGACCAGCTGAGCAACATAGTGAGACCCCTGTCTTTACATAACATTTAAAAATTAGCTGGGTGTGGTGGCACACACCTGTAGTCCTACCTACTGGGGAGGCTGATGCAGGTGGATTGCCTAAGCCCAGGATTTTGAGGTTGCTGTCAGCTGTGATGATGCCACTGCACTCTAGGCTGGGGCGACAGAGATCCTGTCTCAAAAAAAAAAAAAAATTGCTGTGAAAATTTCTAATGCTAACTCTCAATTTCTATACTTATCTCATTGGAACAAACTCTGTCCCACACTTTGAATAGCACTATTATGGATTTTTCTCCACAATAACAGCCTGGGGAGTTAAGGATATACCCTCACCATATCTCCAATATCCATCTTTTTTACCTTTTTTTAAGCCTTTCTTTGGATTTTTAAAAAATTGGATGCATTAGTGAGTTCCCTAAGTTTATTGTTACAGAGAATATTATTTTCTTTATCTAATATATCTTTCAAGCTTCAACTGTCTCTTCATAGTTAAATTTTTGAGTATTTGGTGAGTGATTCCACCATTACTTTTCCAATAAATGTCATAATTTAATAGATCTTTATCATATCCTTTCAGCTTTCTTTTTTCCAGACTCAAGAATTATAATCTGTTTAGTTTATCCTTACAAAGCACAGAAGGGGAACGCAACTATGAGTTTAATTTAAAATCTGTGGTAAGAATGATACATATGTGACATCAGGTTCCTAGCTCAACATCCATATGTGTCATTATGTTTTTATCTAGAGAAAGTTTGTTTTATAATCCTTATCTGCTTTCCTAGTTGCTTCTGGTCACTAGTCATACCCTGTGAAAATTATGGATAACAATGTTCTATCATTGTTACTGCAAAAAGAGTGCAACACTGGTAATGAGTCATAAGTATAGTAGGAAGAATGTTGGTTTTGAAGTCATTTTCCTATAGCAGTATTCAACTGTTCCAATACAGACATTGAAAAGATCATTTCAATTTCCCTCTCTAAAAATTAGAAATAATTTATAGCTCATAAGATGAATAATAGATGCTCAGTAAATATTTGTACTTTTCCCCTTTTCCCTCCACAAAGTACCATACATTATGGTTTTTTTTTTTTTTTTTTTTGAGACAGAGTCTCACTTTGTTGCCCAGGCTAGAGTGAGTGCCATGGTGTCAGCAAAGCTCACAGCAACCTCAAACTCCTGGGCTCAAGCCATCCTGCTGTCTCAGCCTCCCAAGTAGCTGGGACTACAGGCATGCACCACCATGCCCGGCTAATTTTTTCTATATATATTAGTTGGCCAATTAATTTCTTTCTATTTATATAGAAAGAATACTCTCACTCTTGCTCAGGCTGGTTTCGAACTCCTGACCTTGAGCAATCTGCCTGCCTCTGCCTCCCACAGTGCTAGGATTACAGGCATGAGCCACCGCGCCCGGCCCATACATTATGTTTTTAAGTTTATTTTTTTCAACTAACTGGACTATTATTACTCCAGGCAGCCTGAAGGCCTTGGTTTGCCTGTCACTGATCTTACAAATACTAGATGTCATTATTCATATTTTTATTTTATTTGTGAATTAAGGTTCAGAAATACCTTTTCCTTCTAACTGCCCCCAAAATAATTCAATCGAGAAGTCTTTTTCTTCCATATCTGGTTATATTTTATCATCTAATCCCTACATTTCTTATATTTACAATACAATAAGTATTCCTTTAGCATCTACAGACATCCAAGTGCAGATGTAAAGTAGGTAGATGGATATAAAAATCTAAAGCTCAGGAAAAAATATGTAGATTGGAAATATGGATTTAGAGGTCATTAGCATATAGATGGTAGTCTTAAGTATAGATAACATTGTTCAGAGAACATAAAATTTCAGATGAAATTCTGAAAACAGCATTTAAGATATAGAGAAAGAAGCAGTCCAGAAAGGAACCTAAAAAGAGCTCCAGCAAGGTAGGAAAATCAGGAAAAAGTATAGAATAAATAAAAACAGCAAAGCATTTCAAGAAAGAGGGATTGATCAGCATCTTAAATATTGCAAAGAAGTTATGCAAAATAATTACTGAAATGTATCCCTTAGATTTGACAAATTGAAAGTCACCATTTACCTTAAACAATTTTAGTAGAATAATGGGGCTAAAGGCCCCTACAATGGGTTAAGCAGCAAATATGAAAAGAGGAGAAAATTACAAATATAGACTCATCTTCAGTCAGCCTATTCTTGGAGCAAAGGAGAGAGGGTTTGACAGCTTCAGGGGAATGCAGAATAGAGGGACTAAGTTGGTTGGTTAGTGGTTTTTGGAGAGAAATTTCAACATGTTTATATATTAAGGGAAAATGTTTATGGAGACTAGAAAACTATACTATTAGTAATAAAAATGAAGACTGCTGGAATTTTCCCTACTTTTTAAGTGAAATTGACTTGGGAGTGTTTCAGAATTTGCTTAAATCATATGGCTATCTATCTTTATATATTTTTTCCTGGTTTACAAGAGTAATGAATAATTGTTACAAAAATTTCACAGTTTACAGAAGTACATAAAGTATAAAATAAAAGTCTTCTGTAATCTGTGATAACTATTAACAATTTGATATATTCTACACAAGTTTTTTCCCCTCTGCATATACTAATGTTTACCTATGTGTGAACACATGTTGATCTGTAGCCTTTTTCACTTAATAGTGTAGTCAGTTGATAATTCAGTGATGGAAAGAGGTAAAAATAAACTAAGCCCATAGAGATTTTTACATTTTTGTATTTAATACATGATTAACTAATCTCCATATTAAGGAATTTTATTTACAAACACCTTATCTATTCTTTATCCTTCCTCTTTAGAGTGGATGTAACTGAAATTCAGATAGCTTTAGTGATTGTCTTTGTGTTGTCTACATTTGGAGGAGCAACAATGTGGGACTATACGGTAAATCTGAATATTTAAATTTATATTTAAGTACTTTAAAAATATTTATGAAAAAATATTGAATTTTTAATTTTCTTCAAAAAGCCTTTCTTGTATTGTGTTTAATATTTATTCCATTTCTTAATGTTTTCTCTTCATTTTATGTTACTATCCCTATATACTTTATTATAGCATTTTCTTCTATGAATAAATATATTACTTCAGAAGAAAACCACCCAGTTTCCCTAATATAAAACAAACAAACAGAAACACACTGGAATTACCTTTACCAGGTTAAAAATTGTCTCATAAAATAAATATTTTTTAAAAATCCGTAAAATATTTTACATTTGAAATGTTATCCCTCAATATTAGGAAAGAAAAATAGCTAATTTGCATTTTTATACTCCACTTTGAGGTAAAGATTCCCATGTTAAGGAGTGTTTTTATTTTCTGCTTGGTGGATGACCTCAGTATTTTGATAAAAGTTGGCTCTTAAGGAGGCCACTGTCAAAAATTTAAGCTTTTTGCATAGGAAGAAAATTTATGAAGAAACATTATTCTGTCACTACAACCTAAGGCCACAACATTGGCTAACTGATTCACAACTTTTTGCTCATAGTTTTAAGAATAATAATAAGGATAGTATCAATAGTCAACAACTGACATTCATTCAACACTTACTATGTTCTTAAACATAATACTACCAGTTTCATCTGCCCTTCAGAACAATCCTATGAAATATATATTATTATTATTCTGTTTTATAAATAAATCTTAGAATATTAAGTAATTTGCCCAAGGACACATGAGAAGTAAGTACTGGAACCAGAAATTAAGCAGACTAAGTCCAGACTTAGATTTGTAATCACTAAGCTATATATATCTGGTAAAAATAGTAAGAGATAGGCTGGGTGCGGTGGCTCCCGCCTGTAATCCCAGCACTCTGGGAGGCCAAGGTGGGAAGATCGCTTGAGGTCAGGAGTTCAAGACCAGCCTGAGCAAGAGTGAGACCCCGTCTTTACTAAAAATAGAAAGAAATCTGGACAACTAAAAATATATAGAAAAAAATCAGCCGGGCATGGTGGTGGATGCCTGTAGTCCCAGCTACTCAGAAGGCTGAGGCAGGAGGATTGCTTAAGACCAGAAGTCTGAGGATGCTGTGAACTAGGCTGACACCACGGCACTCTAGCCTGGGCAACAGAGCGAGACTCTGTCTCAAAAAAAAAGATAAAAAACTAAAACATACTTTTACCATATGATCCAGCAGTCACACTCCTTGGTATTTACCCAAATGAATCAAAAACTTATGTCCACGCAAATGTTTATGGCAGCTTTATTCATAATTGCCAAAACTTGGAAGCTGTCCTTTATAGGTGAATGGATAAACTGTGGTATATCTAGACAATGGAATTTAGCATTAAAAAGAAATGAGCTATCAAGCCATGAAAAGTTAGAAACCTTAAATGCTTGTTACAAAAACAAAAAAGCCAATCTGCAAAGGCTATATACTTTCCAACATATGACATTCTTTAAAAAGGCAAAACTACAGAGGTAGTAAAAAGATGATAGGTTGCCAGGGTTGGGGGAGGGAGGGTTGTTGAAGAGGTGGAGCACAGAGAATTTCTAGGTAGTAAAACTATTTTGCATGACACTATAATGGTGGATACATGTCATTATACATTTGTCATAACCCATAGAATGTATAACACCAAGACTGAACTCTAATGTAAACTATGAAGTTTGATAATGATGTGACAATGTAGGTTCCTCAGTTGTAACAAATGTACCACTCTGGTTTGGGATGTTGATAGTAGGGGAGGCTGGGCATGAAGGAGTAGCAGGAAGTATGTAGGAACTTTCTGTACTTCCTGCTCAATTTTGCTGTGAATCCAAAACTACTTTAAAAAATAAAGTTTCTTAACATAGTAAAAGATTTCTCTGTGGCAAATAGTATCAGAATTGCCAGTTACTGTTCATATCAGAAGGCTTAGAGATAGACTTTAAGCATAATTTTAAGTAGTGGTACATTCCCTGAAACTTTGATATTTCTTATTATGTAAGAATAAATAATAGAATCAAGGATATGCTACCATAGGCCCATACAACATGTTAGAGGGATGGTTATGTGTCTTTTATGGTAGCTGTTCAGCTAGTACCCATAAGAAGGTAAATGTGGACCTAGAAGCAGTTAAGCAACTCTGGTCATTAAGTTAGGTGTGGTTGTCTTAAATTTGAAATTGAATCTTAAAATTGTTTAATTCAATATTTTTGGCAATCATAGGAAGAAAATACACCTGCTTATTCTAAGAAGGATACCCATTTTTGATGCAGGTTTTCTAAATTTAATTGTTAACCTGTAGTTTCTACAAATTTTGATACAATATTTCAAAGTATTTTCAAAACACAATAGCCTAGAGAATCTGGCAATTCATTTGTTACTGTTTTTTAAATCCTTTGCTGCCCTTTGGAAGGTTTCTTGAACAGCAATTGACCAACAGGTAAATATATTGATAGAGATTTAACCCTGGATATTAACTACACATATTTTTTGCATGCACACACATTATGGTATTTGTCACATTTAATGATGCAGATCATGGTGTCTGCCTTTCCTGTAATGCTGCTTTTTAGAGGCTACTAAATACAAGTGAACTATCCTTTTTCATGTTTAAGTCACATAAAGTCTTGTGAGATTAAACATTTACTCAATTATGTAAATAGACTAAGCTAATTTGGTAGATTCACTTTTCATTTAATAAAGCAATTTCAAAAAATGTTACCACTTTGGGCTAAATTCCAGAAGTGATGGTTTGATTTCAAGAAAAAGGATAGCTTGTTGTAGAGGACCATATCATAGTATTTCTTTACTATTTAATAGGAAAAGAAATTGTTTTCTTAATGATTTGTTTCTTTCCTCTACCCCTAAAGATACCCATTCTAGAAGTAAAATTGAAGATCCTTCCAGTTCTCGGAGTAGTGGGTGGAGCAATATTTTCCTGTTCAAATTATTTCCATGTTATCCTCCATGGTGGCGTTGGCAAGAATGGATCCACAATAGCAGTAAGGCATTAATTTCATCATCGTTCAGTATTAATTTTGTGATAAATTTTATCATCAGTTTTTAAAAAGTTACTAAAAATACACCAAAGTTCAAGAACAGGGATGGAAACTATCTTAAAGAATTAATTTTAGGTACATATACAAAAGCATTTAAAAAGTTTAGAGGCCGGGCGCTGTGGCTCATGCCTGTAATCCTAGCTCTTGGGAGGCCGAGGCGGGCGGATTGCTCAAGGTCAGGAGTTCAAAACCAGCCTGAGCAAGAGCGAGACCCCGTCTCTACTATAAATAGAAAGAAATTAATTGGCCAACTGATATATATATATATAAAAAAATTAGCCGGGCATGGTGGCGCATGCCTGTAGTCCCAGCTACTCGGGAGGCTGAGGCAGAAGGATCACTCGAGCCCAGGAGTTTGAGGTTGCTGTGAGCTAGGCTGACGCCACGGCACTCACTCTAGCCTGGACAACAAAGCGAGACTCTGTCTCAAAAAAAAAAAAAAAAAGTTTAGACTGAGAAAACATTTTTTTTTGTCTTTCTACAAGCTTGCTCTGTGCAAGCTTTGCTGACATTTAATCATCCAGATTTGTTACTATACATAATTAAGAGTTGCCATTTGTTTTCCTGAATATTGTGCCCTGTACTATTTAGGGGAGAGGTAGAAGAGTAGGGAATGAGTTCCTGAATGAATGGCAAGAAAGCTGCCAAAAGTCAATGATTTCACATTTGGGGCAATTTATTACTCATGAAGTTTTACTGAAATTTCACTGAAATATACTATGCTAATATTGTAAAAGGTAATTTTTTCCCCCTGGTTCTTGAGTAGGTATACCTTGTGCTTGTGTTCTTTACACCTTGCTCATGCTATGATACTTTTGTATTTATTCACATTTGTTTTTTAAAACTGCAATACTTTTAAGTGGGAAAGAGTCCGAATTCCTGCCAAGGTTTTAAACAAACATAACATAATGTCTGTGTTTTTTAAAATCCTATTGCCATCTTCAGGGTAGTTGAACATAGAAAGATAAGTACTTATTTCATTGATGCCATATTCTTACCAAAACATTGTTAGAATGCCTTTTTTAGGATTGCTTTAAGCTATAGCATATTTGCATTAATTTCTTTGGCTCTGTATTTCAAAATTTCTATTCTTGATGGGTGGATTTGATTTGGGGAAGCAGTCAAAGTCATTTGGAGCCAGAACTAATAAATGAGTCATAAACATGAGCTACAGCATTTTTAGTATATTTTTAAAAGTCTCATTCTCTTAAATGACTTGTAAATTGACTGTTAAGACAATTTAAAAGGAGTCCTCATAATTCATAAATTACCTTTATGAATTTTATATACATAATTCAGAAGCAAAGTATACAATTCATTTAGATGTATAAGTTCTGATATATTTGGGAAAATTGTCATTTCTTGAGGTTTTTTTTTTTTTTTTTTTTTTTTTTTTTTGAGACAGAGTCTCACTTTGTTGTCCAGGCTAGAGTGAGTGCCGTGGCGTCAGCCTAGCTCACAGCAACCTCAAACTCCTGGGCTTGAGTGATCCTTCTGCCTCAGCCTCCCGAGTAGCTGGGATTACAGGCATGCGCCACCATGCCCGGCTAATTTTTTCTATATATATCAGTTGGCCAATTAATTTCTTTCTATTTATAGTAGAGACGGGGTCTCGCTCTTGCTCAGGCTGGTTTTGAACTCCTGACCTTGAGCAATCCGCCCGCCTCGGCCTCCCAAGAGCTAGGATTACAGGCGTGAGCCACAGCGCCCGGCCGAAGCCTACGGCACCCGGTATTCCCGGGCGGTCTCCCATCCAAGTTCTAACCAGGCCCGACCCTGCTTAGCTTCCGAGACCAGACGGGATCGGGCGCGTTCGGGGTGGTGTGGCCGTGGACTCTTGAGGTGTTTTATCAGTTGACCTCAGTACAGTATTTTGCATAAGGTGCTTAGGAATACATATCACTTGACCATGGATGATAAAATAGAACACTAGCTGGAACATACGTTCCACTAAAGAAAATAGGATTTAGTAAGGATCAATGTCTACTTAAGAGAATATTTCACTAAGAAATAATCGATTATTAAATGTTTGAGGGATGACTTAAGAATCAAACACAAGCTAGGAAGAGGTTGATTTCAAACTCTTAAACTAGTGATTTTTCAACTTTTTTAGCAAATTTTTTTCTCAAATGAAATCTGAGAATAACAATACATAAAACAAAGTACTTAGTTTAAATTTTTATAATTTAGTATAATATAGTAGTATAGTGTTATGTATATAATATTACAGTATTTATAGTATTATTACTATAGTTTTCAAGTAAGTTCTTACATAAAACATCTAAACTTAAGTAAGGCTGTTTTAAGGAACACATTTAAATTGGTTATAGATTTAGTAAGCCTTAATACCAAATTTATTTCAATATTTTGTTTGGGATAAGCAGTGCTGAGAGAAGACTAGTTCACATAGACAAAAATATAATGGCCTGGCCAGTATTGGACATGATGTACAAGGCGAGAGCCCATTTTGCCTTGTCAGTCCTCACTGTCGTAGTTGTTGCTTATTTTTTTTTGCCTGGTAATCTCTTGTTGTAAATATACTGCCAAAGCTTTGCAATGGTATACATAAGTATAAACCTTCCTTTTAAAATGTTGCTCTAAGTCAGGAGGAAGTAGCCCAGTGATGACATTACCCCAACCTCCCATAGATTTGGAATGGAAATATTGACAGTGGGGAATATGTAACACGGAATGGCCTGGAAAAACCACATAAATGTTTTCTGTCTCTTTAAAACCTTCTCACTCTTTGAGAACTATTATAAAACCTGAATCCCTGCCTTGGACCAGTGGTTGGGAGGGGAGAGAGGTGGGGGTGGGGGGCTGTCCTTTGTTCTTTGTGCTGCAAGGAATTGTCCAGGTGTAGGGCAGAGGTCCTGGGTGGAGGTCACAGGATTGTTTTCAGCAGAGATAGGATGGAGGTGGGATGATTAGAATTATCAACTGTAGTTGAACAGCAATTTCCTGAAGTGGAGAACCCACCCTTTAAAAGTTCTGTATTTCTGCTTATTAGTAAGCTGGCATTTTTAGACAGTAGTCTCCATTTTCCTCATTTGCAGCAAATTAATAAACTACTCTTTCTTGCTCCCCCCCCCCAAAAAAAAACTAATGGCCTGGATTGTAGTTTTACACAGGAGGACATGCAAAAAGAGGGGAGGGAGGGATATTGGTGAAGAGAAAAATGAGAGCAGAATTAAGATATTTTGTAGAATTAGCAGGATAAGCTTATTTCAGTATCTCCACAAAAATATTAATTTAGCAATACAAGTGTTGATGGCCTTCAACAAAGTAAAAGTTGATACAGAATAAGTTGCATTAATTTTTAGCTGGTTATTAGTTTAAAAGGTGTGTGAATATAAAATTGGAATCGGACATCTGTGGCACTATATTGTGTCTGTGTAAGCCTGGATTCTGTGGAAGTAGGAAAAGCACAGCTAAGGTTTGTATGTGCCTTTAGGCCATATATTATATCATACTCTTCTTTAGGTTCTCTAGTTCCTTGCACAAAATGGATGCTCAGAAAATGTTTGCATTGTAATAAATACAGTGTTAAAATGTGATATTTTCTGCTTTATCCCTTAGGGCACCAGTGTCTTGTCACCTGGACTACACATAGGACTAATTATTATACTGGCAATAATGATCTATAAAAAGTCAGCAACTAATGTGTTTGAAAAGCATCCTTGTCTTTATACCCTAATGTTTGGGTGTGTCTTTGCTAAAGTCTCACAAAAATTAGTGGTAAGAAATTCTTTTATGACTCATGGTATAAATAATGTACTTGGTCCTTAAACACAAACCTGTAAATTACTTCATATAATATGTAGGTTTTCTCTTGTAATGTCAACATCGTAATAAATAATTAGCTATTTGTGCTCCAAGTAAAACTGTGATATGAATTAATGTTATATTCAGTTAATTATTTGTTTAGTTGTAATTATCAATTACAATTTTCTAAATTTACAACTTTCAAGGAATTTAAACATTAGAAACTTTAATAAGTTACCCAGTCATGAATTCGAGATGTAGATAAGTATTCCCATATCAAATGTAAGATTAAATGGTCTCTTTATTTTTGTCTTAATAGTGAATTAAAATTATAATTTTGTCCTGAAAATAAGAGCTAAAACATTTAAAACTTAATAGTGAAATTATTTTGTTTCTTTTTTTATAGATAGCTCACATGACTAAAAGTGAACTTTATCTTCAAGACACTGTCTTTTTTGGGCCAGGTCTGTTGTTTTTAGACCAGTACTTTAATAATTTTATAGATGAATATGTTGTTCTGTGGATAGCAATGGTAAGTACTGCTGCTTTTTCTTTGTCTTTTAACAGATGCCTGATCACACTATGCTAAAGAGCCATTTCAGTGAGCTATCAGTAGCCTCAATAGTCTATGTAGTAAATGTTTCTGAATATTTGAATTACTTCTGTCAAGCTATGAATCATTCTATATTGTACATAGAAATAGCCAACATATCTGGAGATCAGACTTCTAACAACCTAGATCCTAGAACAGTGTACCTAAAAATATCTTTCTCTTCAAAAAAAAAAGTTCAGGGCCGGGCGCTGTGGCTCACGCCTGTAATCCTAGCTCTTGGGAGGCCGAGGCGGGCGGATTGCTCAAGGTCAGGAGTTCAAAACCAGCCTGAGCAAGAGCGAGACCCCGTCTCTACTATAAATAGAAAGAAATTAATTGGCCAACTGATATATATATAAAAAATTAGCCGGGCATGGTGGCGCATGCCTGTAGTCCCAGCTACTCGGGAGGCTGAGGCAGAAGGATCACTCGAGCCCAGGAGTTTGAGGTTGCTGTGAGCTAGGCTGACGCCACGGCACTCACTCTAGCCTGGGCAACAAAGTGAGACTCTGTCTCAAAAAAAAAAAAAAAAAAAAAAAAAAAAAAAGTTCAAAGATGTCAAAAACTACTTAACTCTGCCCAACAGACTTTCTGACTTTACTTAATCAAGCTTATTAGAATTATTCCCAGTTTACAGCAGGTAACCAGCAAACTGGATGGTGTTAGTGCTGGCAAAGGTGGGAACTTTATTGCATTAAGAACTGTCAGCTAATATTGAGGAAACAAAACAGAATAGAATGTACAGGATTCTGAGACCATTTTATGCTAGAAGCAAGCAACCCTATCTGTACAGCCCTTGAGGATAGTGTATAATATGTATTAATAATGACTCAGTCATTAAGCAAAGGTCAAATTCTCATTGATTATATCTTAAGAAAGGGATGTGGATAACACATATATTAATTTATCTTCAAAATGATTATAAAATACAGAGTATAGTGCTTAAGAGAAACACTTTAGCCACCTGAGGAAAAGAAAATCATCATTGGTAATACTTCAGTCACAAAATTAGATAAATGGAGCATTATTAAATTTTGTATATTAAGATATATCTTTATGGTTGTTCTTCAGTCGATGGTGTATTTGAATAGTTTTACTGTATTTTTCTCTCCGGACCTCACTGGACCTCTCCAAATTGTTAGTGCGATATAAACTCTGAAATATACTTAAAGAAAAACACCCAACAATGAATCTTTTGAAAATTCAAATAATCTCCTATATTTTTTAGATTTCAGTATTTAAGAAATCTGTTTTTGTGTACCGCCCACAGGGTACATCTGATGATCCTTCACAAAGTTGTATACTTTTTCTGAAGTACATTAATAACTTAATATTCACTCATAGTCCATTCTAAAGTCTTCCATCCTTCCTACAGTGGTGGTGAGCTATAATTCTTAACCCTTTTAGGTAAACGACTTTTGAGGCAATATTATAAAAAATATTTGAAAACCAGAATAATTTCTTTAATTTGCTATTGACTATAAACATTTTTGGGCTCCAAAACAATCCCAATTTAAGAAATGGGGGAGTGATTATTCAAAGTATCTCAAAACTCAATGTAAGTTTTCTTTTAGTGAACCTAGATATATATTACCAAGTGGAATTGTTTAATAAAATATCAGGTATTAAAAATTCAAGCACCTATTTTGCAATGAGTAGTTAGTCTGGTTTCCACCAATGATGGAGACTGGAGAACTGAGGAAGTCAAAAACACTAAGTAAACAACTTAAAAACACACCAACACAAAAAATGAGGGCCAAAGCATGTACCCTTTGGCATAAGCTTCCTGATAAGGAGAGAAAAGATCCTGATGGAGATTTTCCCCTCATGGGTGAGAAGAATTCCCTCTACAAGGGCAGAGTTATGAGGCTCCTCTTTATCCTGGACTTAATTTTCTAAAAGAAGCACTTGACTGTGGTCTCTGGGCAAAGTCTCTAAATAGAAGCCCTCCCTTAGAGGCCCTCCTTAATTTTGTAAACATATTTTTATATATGCCTCCCGTTAACTATGGTGTCTTTTCCAGAACTTTTTTTTTTTTTTTTTTTGAGACAGAGTCTTGCTTTGTTGCCCAAGCTAGAGTGAGTGCCATGGCGTCAGCCTAGCTCATAGCAACCTCAATCTCCTGGGCTCAAGCAATCCTGCTGCCTCAGCCTCCCAAGTAGCTGGGACTACAGGCATGCGCCACCATGCCTGGCTAATTTTTTCTATATATATTAGTTGGCCAATTAATTTCTTTCTATTTATAGTAGAGACAGGGGTCTCGCTCTTGCTCAGAGCTGGTTTCGAACTCCTGACCTCGAGCAATCCGCCCGCCTCCGCCTCCCAGAGTGCTAGGATTACAGGCATGAGCCACCGCGCCTGGCCTTCCAGAACTTTTATCTTCTTACAATACATTTGATGGAGTGAATTTATTATAAGATATGACTGATAACGCCTTCTAGAAGGAAATTTATAGCTTCATTGCAGTGGGAAGAAAGAATGTAGAGTCAGAAAACTTGGGTTTTGTTACTTTCGAGCTTTGTGTGTTTTAGTCTAGTCCTTTTATTTCGTTGAGCCTCAGTTTCTATAATTGTGCAATAACCTGCATATTCCAGAGGACTAGAGTGAGGTCCAAATATGAAGTATATCAAAGTACTTTAAAATGTATTATTTTTGGTAAAGAATTTTAGGTTAAGATTTGAGCATTGGGGGAAAACAGAACAATAACTGCTACTTGAGAAAAGATCAACCATAATCAATTTTATATATGTCTTTTTGCTTCTAAAGGTCATTTCTTCATTTGATATGATGATATACTTTAGTGCTTTGTGCCTGCAAATTTCAAGACACCTTCATCTAAATATCTTCAAGACTTCCTGTCATCAAGCACCTGAACAGGTTCACAAGCATATTGACTGACTAATAGCCCAAGGAAAGGAGGAGATGCAGTTAGGGGAACCTATGAGTGAAGGAAATCCCCCTATGCAGGAGGCTAGTATATTATCAAATAAGGTTATATTTGAATATAAAACATAAATACTGCAGATTCTATTATGTCTTTTTCAGAAATGAAGCCCTCATTGTGTATCATTTTTGATCACAGGTATTCTCAGAGTAATACAATCTATAAATTAGAAACAAAACTAAAGAGATTTCAATCCTAAAGAGAAGAAACTGAACCCCTGTAGTTCTAAATAGCAGTCTCTTTGAGAAATACTTATCATATACTTAGTGTTTTCACTGCCAAAAGATTACATAACAATTGAGAATGTAAAGCATTTTAGCCATTTTGAGTGTACTTTGCTAAAAATGGAAAAGTGAGCTCATAATAGTGCATAAGTGCTTGGCTTATAATATTGTAATTATTGAGTCAAAAGCCTCTAAGAATTTTAAAAAATCGTATCATTTTTCAAATGAGGCACGTTAATTACTATGGTATAAAAGATCTTTGGTGATCCAAATCTTCAGCTCCCATCTGACCCTATTTTTAATTTTATATAATAGTTCTGTAGACCATATACCATATGATGAAATAATCAGAAAAATAAAGGAATAATGAACATGTACTACATCTACTTGCCTACGTCAACAGGCAAGAGAAAGGCATATTGAAAAAAACAGTGAAACATATTCCTTAAAAGGAAAAAATATATACTTATGTTAATTACACAAAAAACACTTTGGAGTACTACTTACATTGCCTCTGTAGCTAAAACTTCTCAAATAAGGACCTTCTTAGACGTTTGAGTAGTACTTAAGATTTATATTCTAACTCATACTTTGGCTTAAAAGGAAAATCCCTTACAAAGTTCAAAATTTTAGGAAATAAACTGTCCTTTTAATGTCAAATATTTGTTAATGGTAGAGGACTAATATCTTCCTGTACAAGTTATCACAATTAGAAAAAGAATCTATGTGGACTTGTTTTTTAATACTTGGAAAACCTTAAAACTAAGATAGGGGTGGGTTATAGAGTCAAAAATTAGAATTTAAAACAAAAGCAGGAGAAAATTGCTCCTCCTATTCATGGAAAACAATCTCAGCAAAAAATAAGTTCAACTGATTTATTTCAAACAAATGCTGAAACAATATTTATTAGATCAAGTGTTTATATGTCAACACTTATAAAAATGTACATTTTAAAAGATATTTGGGTTTGAAAATGTAAAATTAAACTCTATCAAAAATCAGTATTACCAAATATTAAAATTGAAAAAACATTCTAGGTAATTTATCGTTAAAGACAGATGTCATATACTTAAAGTAATTAGGTATGTTAATGATGTGCTCTTATTCATTGCTAAGGGCATGTGTGTCATTTAATTGCAGACCAAGCCCAATTAAATGACATTTTGATGTCTTATGGAAATGACAGATTCACAAATCCATATCTTAAAACTGATTATTTATATCTCTTGTTCAGTTGATGATTTAATGTTCAGAGGTAAGAACAGTTTTATTCTAGAACATAAACTTAAGTTCATCTTATTTTCATTAGAATTGGTTGAACTGGTTGTACAACTTATGTAGATAAGGATGTACATGTAAAATAGATTTGTATTTCTTTTTTTCTTAAAGAAGAACAATGTAACCTTCTATACTTGTGCTTTCTACCTTTTGGGACTAATACAGATACACTGAAGCCAAAACCTAAAATTAAATCATTTTTATTGCTAAAAGTTAATTGACAAAGAAAAAAATTCATTATAACCACGAAAGAGCTAAAAGCTTGAGGCATATCATTTAGGAATAGCTGCTACTCATGTAACTGTTTAGATTTTATTTGGGAATTAACATAAAGGAAGGTCTTACAATGAAACAAGCTAATGATTAAAGGTGTTATAATTTAAACTGGAATTTCTAAACCACTTTAAAGACTTACATGCTGCTTAGCTAATGTTATAATTGTATCATATAGGTTCAAGTTCTTTCTTCAAAGAGTCATCAGAATAACATGGATTGAAGAGACTTTCGAACACTTGCCATCTCTTGCTGCTGCTGTTTCATGAAAGGAGATAAACATTTGTTTAATTTTTAGTTAAGTGTTATACCTCTTTCAGCAAATAAAATATTTCAATGCTTACATTAATCCTTATTTTAAAAATTTTAAACATAAAGACTTACAGTTTCCATCATAATTTTTTTTTGCAACATAGCCATTTCTTTTCTAAGTTCATTTTGTGCACCACTAAGAAGACTATCATGTTCCTTCGCCAAGTCTTCCATACTCTAAAACACAAAAGACTAGTTACAGTAAACCACTACTTTCACCTTAGGTTCTAAAGTTGTACAACTAATTTTCAACAGTAAGAACTTTTTAATATTCAAAGACTGCTCATTTTTTTCATAGCTCCAGAATGAATAGAAATACTCATCATTTATTCCAAATTTCAAAGTTCCAAGCAATAAAAACCAAAATACTTACTATAAAGGGAAAAAAAAAGATATGAATCAAATATAGGAAGTACAACAGTAATATACTTTGCTTAAACAATGGATTAGTGAACAGTTAAGGTCAGGATGATGGAACAAAAAAAGAAATAGATTGGAAATCCCTTATCAATAACTACCATAATTTTAAGTTTTCTATTAAGCATTCCAAATATCAGGTAGTTATCTAGAGAGAATAAAATGGTCTGTAGTATGACCTCTTCCAAATTATGAACAACAAAAATTATGTTTTAAATCTTTACTATTCATTCAACAAATAGTTATATATAATCTGGTGTCTACTATGTAAACAGTACTATGTTAAATCAGATTAATTCTGATTTATTTGGCTAAAGAATAAGCTTTCAATAGATAAAAAAAATTAAAATATTCTGGGGAAGAGCACAAGCAATGGAAGTACATGGTGAGTTTAGAGAAAGAAATTTTATGGAGAGGTGGGATAATGAACAAATGTAACTGAAGCTCAAAAAGAGGGTCATGTCATGGGGAGATCTTGAATACCTAAGAATTTAGAATGGGAAGCTGACAGTTTTCTGTCAATATATTTTAGAAAGATAATGTGGCAGATCTGTAAGTATAGACTGGAGAACAGAGAAACTAGTTAAGAGTTTTAATAGTACAAGCAAAGCAAGATGAGGTCCTGAACTAGGGTAGTACCCAGTGGAAATTGAAAGAACAAACCACTGCTGAAGTGAAAATTACAAACCTAGAAATAACTGGATATGAAGGATAAAAGAGATGGAGGAATCAAAGATTATACTACAGTTGCTACCCTAAGTAACATTTAGTGGTAACATTTAGAAGAGACATTTAGCTAGTGATTTATCAAGTCTTCACACCATTTAACAAATGGTTCTCTGAGAGCATTAATGCAAGCTGACAGGTTCTCTACTGGGAAGTACTTCTGGAAATAATTTTTGTTGCCAGGTGCAGTGGCTCATGCTTGTTAGTCTTAGTTATTCAAGAGGCTGAGGCAAAGAGGATCACTTGAACCCAGGAATTTGAGGCACAGTGAACTATGATCATGCCACTGCACCTGACCCTATGCAACAGAGCAAAAGCCTTTCTTTAAAAAAAAACATTATGTTCATATATATGTTATTTTAAAAATCTGAAAACTATTTTACTAATTTACTTAGAGTATCTCAATTCCTTTAGAAGAGTTATATTTTAACATGTATTTGAACAAGAGTCTCTAATACCCCATTAAAAAAAAAGTATATGCAGGATTCCATTGAGCTTCTATGAATAGTTACTAAAAAGTATATTTCTGCGTGAACACAGTCAGTGTCACAGACCACAATTTGCTTTTATTTGTGTGTGTGTGTGTAAGAGTAAGTAACTACCAATCCACAAATTTTTAATCCTCAGCTGTCTGTTATATGTCTCAGCTAATTCTTATGATAAGTTGGCATATTAAGTCATCTTGGTTACTTAGTAATAATTATACAAGCAAGTATGCTATAAAATACTTGTATAATACATTTGAAAACAAAAGAAATACTCATTAATTTCAATTGGTACTTTCTATTTAACAAACACTGGGGATACAAAGACAAGTTAAAACCCTACCTAGATCTCCAGGTCTGTTATGAAAAAGAGAGAAAAAAAAAAAAAAAAAAAAAAAAAAAAAAAGAAAGAAAAATGACTAAAGTGTTAATAAAAGTATGGATTTTGTGCAAGTAAGTACATTTCCAAGTAAAATTCCCAATTAAACCATTTCCTATTTTGAATAATCCCCACAAAGCTATTACAGTCCTAAAGTAAAGATACATTTATCATCTAAGTTAAATCAGAAAGAATGGAATTCAAAATGGAAAGAGGTTAAGCATTTAAAATGTATAAACAAATTTTTCCCAGAATCTTAGAAAAAAATTATCTTATACTTCCATAAATACATATTTTATAAGAATGTATTACTGCCATATACAACAGACCTTTATGAACTGCTCATATAACTGTTTAATTGTTTTCAGTCTCTGGCTTTGAACAATTCTTGATTGTTGGAAAACCTTTTGTTGCTGCCGAAACGTATTCTACAAATACAAAAGAAAAAAAATTGTGTAATTAACAATTTCGGTACAATTTTATTTATTTATTTATTATTGAGTACTTTTTTTGAGTACTAGTGCTTTCTTGGGTTGTACAATCTCAGGACAACAAGAGTGAGGAGAAAGGAGTGCAGGAAAAACTGGTAAGCAAATTCAAGATGTCATATTATTGAACAAGTTACTCTTTGACAAAGAGTCATAGGTGGGTGAACATGGCTATACAGTAAACCACACCTCAGAACAGACCATCAAAGAGGGAAATGGAGAGAGAATTTGTTGCTCCTCTACCATCCTCTGCCTCCAATTGGTTAAAGTTCTGCCTGTGAGAAGTAATTCTCCAGCACTTCTGAGTTGTGTGAACTGCCCCTTTGGGAATCCTCTGGGGAAGTGAGATTCCATGCCCGTGATGTGGTGCTTCATTCATCCAAATTTGGGACTGGTGGTGGGTGCTAGAGGCTATGGCTAGTACAGAGCCGGCCACCCTGGGGTACAGTTTTAAATTTAGCAAAAAAAAAAAAAAAATCCACATTAAACTTAAAAGTAGTTTTAAAATCAATACTTTTAACATTTTAACTCTTATGACCAAGTTTAGATAATTTGTGTTCATCACTAATATGCAACAATATATAATCCTACCAGTCAGTGAATAGGAAATTTTAACGATATTCAAGACAAGTCTTAATTCTTGATTTTAATATCCACACAATGATCCTTGCAATAATGGTGATCTTTCAGTTCCCTGACCTATTCAATAATGATTTTTTGCCCTCCACCCTACTTTAGCCATTCACTTGTATACTCATACCCTAGATATGTCATTACTAATAACTTTCTATGAGCTGAATAAAGGTAAATAATTTGTCCATGGTTTCACAGCTAGCAAATGCTCAAATAAGTATTTGATCTCAAACACTGTTGTTTCCAGTGTTCTAACCATTATACATATGTTTCTCCATATATCCCAGTATTCAACCACTACTTACTTACCATTCTAGCTTACTCTCTCTTTGGTGCTACAGCTCAATAACCTATCAGCACCTATAATCCATTTCTTCCTACCTACTTTTCACTGTCATCCCTACCTATATATCCCCACTTTTCTCTTTCCTGGCTTAAATTCTGTGGTCAATTATTATAATTATTCCTTTCCATGTATAGCTTGCTCAAACCCCAAACCTGGAAAATACAACTCTCCAGATACTCTGCCAGGATGCAACACCTTCCTACCATCTGATGACCTTAACTATGTCACTAAATAAAAGCAATCCAAAGAGAACTTTCAGTCTCCCATCACCATATCTACTCTCCACCTACATCTGTGTTTTATATACTTTACCTTCTCTCCTGTTTCTAAGGATAATCTTTGTCTCTTGCTAAGGCCACCTTGTTCACATATCTCATCCACTCTTAAGAACTCAGCAACGGTCCCCCTCTTTCCATTATTTTTAATTTTTTCCTCCAGATTATTCCTATCAGCATACAAACATGCTATTTCTCTGATCTTAACAAAACAAAAACCTCTACTCTCTTTATCCTCAGGTTACCACCCAGTTTCTTTCCTTCCCATTATGTCTTATTCTGAACAGATTTTTGTACTTATTTTTCCACCAAAATTATTCTAATTCAGGCTACCAACTTGACCTCTACCTTGACCAAATCTAACTTATCTGGCCTGTAAGCAGCATATGACAGAGTTAATCCCCTTTCCTTCTTTAAAAGTGTTACTTGGCCTAGAGCAGTTTTCTATCTATTAGGTCACTCTGTCTTTATTAGTTCCCCCTTATTTCCTGGAACTCTAAACATGGAAGCACTCCAGGGCTGTCCTTAGACTTCTTTTACATTTAAAATCACTCCCTTGGTGATCTCATCCAGTCTTCATGGCTTACATACTGTCTTTATGCTGAGAATTCCCACCTTTGTATCTTCAGCCTCTCCTGAACTCAACTCATACCAGTGGCCTACTTGACACCTGAGTGTTTCATGTGCATCTCAAAAGTTAACATTTCCAAAACAGGTGATCAACCAACCCCAGCATTATTTCATATTAACAGTACCTCAGCTTTTAGATAAGAAATGTTTGATAATTACAAAGAATGAAAGGATGAAATGAAAATGTAGTTAATGCCATTATACAATATTATGAGTGGGGATGACTTCTATCTCCCTTAGGGATGGGTATGTAACACAAGTTTGGCCATTAAGAGTAGACCATATTCTGATTATAGTTGTCCCTTGGTATCCTTGGGAGACTGGTTCCAGGGCCCCCTGAGGATACCAAAATCTGCAGATACCAAGTCCTTATATAAAATGACATAATATTTACATATAACCAATGCACGTCCTCCCATATACTTCAAGCCTGCAGTTCCCAACCTCTGGGCCACGGACTGGTAGTCTGGTCAGTGGCCTGTTAGGAACTGGGCTGCACAACAGGAGGTGAGTGGCAGGTGAGTGAGGGAAGCTTCATCTGTAGTTACAGCACTCCCCATCACTTACATCACTGCATAAGCTCCACCTCCTATCAAATTAGTGGGGGGCAGGGCATCAGATTCTCATAGAAGCACAAACCCCACTGTAAACTATGCATATAAGGGATCTAGGCTGCATGCTCCTTATGAGAATCTAATGCCTGATGATCTGAGGTGGAGCTGATGCAGTGATGCTAGCACTGGGGAGTGGCTGCAAATACAGATTATCATTAGCAGAGAAGTTTGACTGCACAATAAATGTAATGTGCTTGAATCATCCTGAAACCATCCCCCCATCCCCTGGCCCTGTGGAAAATTGTCTTCCATGAAACTGGTCCCTGGTGCCAAAAAGGTTGGGGACTGCTGCTATAAACCACCTTTAGATTATTTATAATATCTAATATAATATGTTATGTAAATAATTACACTATATTGTTTTTTAAATTTGTGTTATTTTTTATTGTTGTATTGTTATTTTTTATTGGTTTTTTTCCACGTATTTTTGATCCAGTTGGTTGAATCTGAGGATACAGAGCCCATGGATACACAGGGCTGAGTGCACAGTGATTGGTTGGGAATGGGCAAATGATCCAAACTAGATCGGTGATATTCCTCCAGAGAAATGTTCTGCCAGTGCTACTGAGATTGTCTCAGACTACTGGGGTTACTAAACTTGTAATAAGTCTAGGATCGCAAGAACTATCTTGCTTACTACATTAAGAGAGCTAAGAACTGTCAACAGAACCCAGATGACACTATGTGAGCAATCCTTCCCTGTTTTCATACAGCTGTGCCTAAAGCTAAACTACCTCCAACTTATTTTATATACACCAATAATTCTTGTGTACTCTGAGAAACTTCTGTCACTTGGAAGTGCAAGAATCCCAACCAATATAAGAAGCAAAGACAATGGTTTGTATGAATATGATATGTGCCTATACTTCCATGGGTTACAGTTCAGCAGGACTAAAACACATAGCCAGCAATGGTTAATGGAACTCGCCTCGGTGCCATGGGTCTAATAAAAGGCTAGGTTCTCCATTCCTACTTGAGACTGGTATTAATAGATTAATTATAAACTTAATTATGATACCAACAATTAGTTTTTCTTCTTGTTCCTCAGCTTTCTGCACATCTACATCCCACTGCTGAAACAAAGTCGTAAACTGCTGAGAATATTCTTGTTTAAGCTTCTGCCTATAAAACATAATGTATTGTCATATTTCATACCAATATAAAAAAAATTTAAAACAAAATTGAGTTGACATATTTATACCATAAAAAAGGAATGCTTTCTTCTAGTAATAAAATTTTTTAAAAAAGGAAATAATAGCTTACATCTTCTGATGAGAACCCAAGAAATAAAATGATTTATGCTGATTCCAGAAGTATGCCAATTCCAAATAAGCTAATAGAAAAGCCCTCTCACATGCCTTAGTTCTTGAAAACTGTACATATAAATTTCCTAGAAACTCATTTTTATCTCCAAGTAGTTTATTTTTCATTTTTTCCTATTGAATATAGGTTCTGATATAATAAATTGAATAAATAAGGTTATTACACCTATCATATAAGATTTCCAAACAGAAATCTTTCATTTATTTTTTCCCTTATTTTGGAGTAAAAGATTTTGGACAAAAGAATAGTTAAGTCAAATAAAATGTACAAATTATTTACAATATAAGGTTGGCCCTATTCTACATTGTTGAACACAGTTAACTATCAGAAGACTAATGATTTCCATGACATTTACCTTTTATTCAACTATTGTATCTCAATAAATATAAATTACTTTTGTTTTGTTTTTTTTGAGACAGAGTCTCGCTTTGTTGCCCAGGCTAGAGTGAGTGAGTGCCATGGCGTCAGCCCAGCTGACAGCAACCTCAACCTCCTGGGCTCAAGCAATCCTGCTGCCTCAGCCTCCCAAGTAGCTGGGACTACAGGCATGCGCCACCATGCCTGGATGATTTTTCCTATATATATTAGTTGTCCAATTAATTTCTTTCTATTTATAGTAGAGACGGGGTCTCACTCTTGCTCAGAGCTGGTTTCGAACTCCTGACCTTGAGCAATCCACTCGTCTCGGCCTCCCAGAGTGCTAGGATTACAGGCGAGAGCCACCGCACCCGGCCATAAATTACTTTTATAATTAAAAACCTCAATTGTTATCTAAGGGCCAGGCACAGTGACTCTCACCTGTAATCCCAGCACTTTGGGAGGCTGAGGCAAGAGGATCACTTGAGGCCAGCAGTTTGAGACCAGCCTGGGCAACACTGCAAGACCCCATCTCTACAAAAATTTAAAAAAAGAAAAAATTAGCTGGGTGTGGTGGTGTGCACCTATAGTACCAGCAACTTGGGAGGCTGAGACAGAAAATCACTAGAGCCTAGGAATTTGAGGTTATAGTGATCAGGCCACTACACTGCAGCATGAATGACAGAGTAAGACCTTGTTTCTTAATAAAGACAAAAAAAAAAAAACTTAGAATAATCAAGCCAAATATATTGTTATTAGGGACCTCAATAAATAGAAGGTGATGGTAGTTTTCACAAGTAATTTGTACCAGTAAATACTAAAAAATGACACAAATGTGTGGCTCTACACTAACAACCTTACCTTTGCTCTTGTTGTGTTTTCCAAACATGTTCAATTTTCTGGTTGCTAGTTTTGAGAGAAGCTTTGGTATACATTTCTAGTCTTTTTCTCTTAGCAAGAAGAGCCTTGTTAATGTCAGCTAGATTGAAAATAAATATTAAAGTTTAATGTTGAATAAAATTATTTTGTTCTTACATATTCAAGTAAATATGAATAAAGTTGGTTCAACACTATTGAAATGACATTTAAAATTAAATTTAGAAATAGCTAATTTCAAAAAGCATAATTATTTGCTTTTTTCCTGAGACAACTTTCAGTCTTAGGAATTAGTATCCCAGAATTAGTATCCCAATTCTGATTTTTCTAATTGGAGATATTTTTTAAATTTAGGGATGGTGAAAAAGAGCTAAAAAGCAAAATAAAGAGTCAAGAGCTGACTTAATTTCCTCATGAGAAAAACACTAATAATGGCTAATTTTTTCTAACTGTATAAAATAATCCCCAATTGAAAGGACACATTTAGATGAATTACTTTTTATAATTTATTATATAAAATATACATAAGTACTCTACTAACAAACAATCCAAAATGGATAGAAACAGTTAAAGAAGAAAAATTTTTTAAAAATATAGTTAATTTATTAAGAGACAAAGACCAAGGATAGAAAAAATGTTTAAGCAAATATCTATATAAATTCATTTAATACCACTTTTAAATACTCCCATGAATCTTTTTTTGAATACTTTTGCCAATAAATACTGTGTTTCATAAAATTTTTTTAACAACATAAAAGTAAAAAAGTTTATTTTATCTTCTTGAGAGTAAAAAAAAAAGAAGAAAGAAGGGCAAGAGAGCAGGGAGATGGTGTGTGGCATCTCAAAGAAAGGGAAGGGAGTGCCAGTCCATACAATTTTTAATACTTCAAATAATGCTTTGCTAACCATATACCTTTATGTTATGGATCTACCATAGTTATCTTTCAATAATCATGATGGAGCTGCACTATTATATATTTTATACTTTCAGTATCATCTATAATAACAAACTTATAAGACAGATTATAAAACAATTTGTCACCATGAGATAGAGCAAAGCTTTCAAAAAAGACTTGATTGTATGAATAATCCATATGGAGGAGACATATATTTACTCTTTAAGAGTACTGTCCCTGGCTGGGCATGGTGGCTCACACCTATAATCCTAGCATTCTGGGAGGCTGAGGTGGGATGATTGCTTGAGGTCAGGAGTTCGAGACCAGCCTGAACAAGAGCAAGACCCTTACCTCTACTAAAAATAGAAAAAAATTGACCAGGCGTGCTACACTACTCCCAGCTACTCAGGAGGCTAAGGCAGGAGGATCGGTTGAGCCCAGGAGTTTGAGGTTGCTGTGAGCAAGAGTACCATCCCCTAACAAAGCTCAGGTAACTGGTATTTTAACATACTATTTAAAACTTGAGAATTTTTAGACCTGAGTATAGATCTTTCACCAGCTAGCAAAGTTGTCTTTAGTTTTCAACTACATAGTTTATTAATGTAAAAATAACAATAGTTATTTTAGAGACTTTAATTTACACTGTCCTCCCTAAAGAACACAGAAGTCATATAAATAACGAATTTGAGAAAATGCAAAATTGATATATATACAGACATGTATGCATGTGTGTGTGTATCACTTAGCCTGTGAATACAAAGAAAGGTAGAGACTTCCCATCCATTTTACTTCTAAATTTACATAATCTGTTCAGTTCACACATAAAATAAAAACACCATTCACACTTTTACATCATGGAAAACATAAGTACGGAAGTCTATGAAACTAAATAACAAATACTTATGCGAAATCCTATATATGAGAATAAGACATTAAATAACAGTTTTATAGTCCACTGATTAACATTTCCTATTATACAAGTTATATGGTTTAAAACAATTTTTTTTAAATACAAATATCTCCTAAAACATACCTCCAAATCTTTCCAGCATATTCTGAACTTCACCCCTGTAAAGAAATTACCTTTTAAAAATTTTAATCCATAAAATATCATGTTTGCTTTGGAAGAAATATCACATGCCAATTATTTTACATATATAATAGTTGTTAAACAACAAAGGAAACTTGAAGTACTTTAACAGGCAAAAATTATTTTGAACAAGTTACCCAACATCTTCAACTGTTCCTGCAGAAGGCCTCTTCCTCCCATGTTTATCAGTTACTGGAGTCTTTCCTGTATTGACAATAAAAACAGAAAAACTCTTTTGAAATTAAGTATGCTATTTTGGTAAATTTTAATTAAGTAGTATCTTCATTTGCGGGTCATTTAGGCTTTTTGCCAACATAAATTTTTAAAGGAGACATGTAAATGCATACTCTCCCTGCAGGTTAGATGAAATTAAATCAGGATTCAGGACTATTTTATAGGAACAATTTTTCAAGTATTACTAAGTTAATGTCATAGTAAGCCACGTACTATTTATCAGACTTTTTGGATATAATGACTGTAAAAGCAAGAATGCTACATGAGCTTCTATAACTCTGACACTAGGGTATGAAGATCAAATGAAAAACAAAGTACAGCTAGTTGTACACACCCACCAGGTCTGAATCCAAGGATTCTGAGATATGACTATACATTAAGACACTTTGCCAAGTTTTATTGCTGTTTTAAATGTAGTGGGTTCAAAGCAAATGAACTGAAGGATGCCATCACTGCCCAACACTAGATACACCGTACCTTCTGTAACATCTTCCTCTGAAACACTCAGATCTTTTTTATCTTCTTTTTCAAAGTCATAGCCTTTTATAACCTGATCCTCTGTTGATGACTTCCCAGGTTTCCCAGAGTGCTTTCTTCCAGAGGGCACCATATTTAGATGTTTCCTGACTTTAAAAAACAAACCTCTCAAACCTTCTGAATCCAAAGGAATCATTTAAATAAACTGGTAAAATTTTAAATGGCCAAGAAAATATCAAACAAGGATTATCTTAGTTGAATAAAATTTTAGCAGTTTCCTCATTTATTTTATTGGACCAAAAGTTAGAAACGAGTATAATGACACTGCCAATTAAAAAAAAAAAAGATTAATGACACCATCAACCCCGACTCCAAGTGTGCTGTGATGGGAGAGTTCGCACCTGAGGACTGGGAGATTTGGATATTAGGGCCCCCTTTGCCAGATTCTGGCTTCAATTTAGGCAAATCTAGTGGGCATCTCGGTCACAAAGTAAAATCGTGGTTGCTGCCAAGATAAATCACGAGCATGCCAAAAAAAAAAAAAAAGTTCACAGCTATATATATATATATATATATCGTTCTGCAATGTGAGTCTCGGAAAATTAACGCCCAGTAAGATTTCCACAACACACAGAGCAGGGGAAAATGCCAAGGAGGCTCAGTTACTTTCATTTTTCTGACCGGTTTGGGGCAGGCAGGAGGGATTGACGCGCAGAGGCAGGCCCCAGCCCTCACCCACCGCCGCTGTCCCTGCCGTAAACCTTCCGAGGGCCCGACCGTACAGGGCCAGTCCCAGCTCAGCCCGCCTGCTTTCCACCGGCTCCTCGCCCGCGCAAGGCCCTGCCCTCAGTGAGGTTTGCCGCCTCCGCCTTCCTGACAGAGGCCCCAGGTAAGGCCAACAGGGAAGATTTACCTCACTAGTCAATAGCGGCCCTTGGCCCGGACACCAGCGCCGGATAAACTTCTCCCCTGCTCAGGCCTGAAGAAAACCCTAATGGTCGAGGACCACAGTTACTGGTCTCCCGACAGGTGGCCTTCACAACTCCGGCCTCCCTCACCCACACGCCTCCACTGAGCTACCCACTTCACTGCCGCAATGCTACTGAGGAAACGGGATTCTCGCGGGAAGTAAGCCACCCTCGCCTCAGCCGGGCTCGTAGCTGATTGGCTGGACGCCGTACGCATGCGTGCACGGAGTGGCGAGGGTCCGGCCCCACTAGGGCGATTGCATGCCTCATTGCTGGTATCTAGCCAGGTGAGGCCAGTTGCTAGTAGATCAGACGCCCAGCGTTTTCCAGTTTTTAAGTTTAAAAATTTTTATAATCGTGACAATTGCAAAAGAATATGTCAACTATGAAACACAGTGAACACACCACCTAATTGTGAAGTAGAACTTGACCAATATTAGCTGAATTTCTTGAGGCAGTCCTTACCATCCCATCCCCCTCTATCCACCCCCACAACTCCGCCGCCGCCGCTCTTCCCCATTCATAGGTATAAGAAAATTACCTTGAATTTGTGTAAACCATGTGCCCCCTCCCATTTTCTAAGTTTTGTTATCCCATGTATTGTATCCTAAACAACATGGCTTAGTTTTGTGTTTAATGATACAAAAAATTGTACTATAGTTTATGTAGTATTCTGCCACTCACTTTTTTATTCAACGTCATGCCACTGAGAGAATCTATATTATTTACATGTAGCGTAGTTCTTTTGTTTTCACTGCTGTGTAGTATTCCATGTGACACTATTCCACGATTTATTCATTGATTTCCTTGTCATGGATATCTGAGTTCTTTCCAGACTAGGGCCTATATAAACAATACTATTAGAAATATTCTAATCTCTTGCATATGTGTTAAAGTTTTGACTGAGCACAGGATATAGGAGTGATGTTGCCAGGTCATAAGCTAGCTGATTTTCATGCCAAATAATTGTTTTACGATTTATGTTTCCACCAACACAATGAGTTCCCTTTGTTATATATATTCATCATCACTTGGTATAGTCAGATTTCTTAATTTTCCCATTCTAGTGGGTGTAAAATGGTATTTGTTTGGGGTCTTCTATATTCTTCCAGTCACTCACAAGATTAAGCCCTTTTAATGCTTATTTGCCATTTGCATTTCCTTTTCATTAAAATACCTATTTCAGTTTCTTGTCCATTTTTCAGTTGGGTATTATATGTTTCCTATTGATTTGTAGGTCTTTATGCTGGCTATTAATCTTTATGACTGTTTTTCTTTGTCTTTTCAAAGAAACTTATGTTTACCCTGAACACATAAAAAATAATCCCAAGGAAAGCTGCGGGAAACCCCTCCGCCCTGCCTTCCCCTCCTCAGACCTCCCCCAAATTCTCCTGTAGTTTCTATAAAGGTTTTAACCCTTCATAGGGTTTAACACTCCTCCAAAGTGGTTCTCCCTCTAAAGTCACCAGTGACTTCCATGTTGCTAAATCAAATGGTCATTCTCTGGTCCGCATCTCGCTTGACTCTCAGCAGCAGTCAACACTGTTGACCACTCTTTCTTCTCCCATGTTTCCATCTTCCTTTGGCTTGCACAGCTGAATAGTCTCCTCTTACCGTCTTAGCATTCTGGCAACTTGTCCCCATCTTTGCTAGCTCTTCCTCCTACAAAGGACCCTCACATGTTGGAGTTGCCTAGGACTTGGTTTTACTCAGTTCTTTTCTCAATTTATATACTCTTCGATGGTCTCATATATGCACATGGCTTCAAATATCAGTTTCTCTAAATGGTGTTCATGGATCAGCCAGTATCAGGATAACTTGAGGGGGAGATAAAAAAAGGATGGGAGGCAGAGGGAGAGAGAGAAAGGTGTGTTCCAGTGCAGATTTCCAGGTCCCATTCAAGGCTTACCAAATTAACTCTGAAAGTGGAGACTGAAAAACCTGCATCATAAATAAGTTCTCCAGGTGATTCTCATACTCAAAAGTTTGGAACCCCTAATTAGATTTGTTACATCAACAAGGACAGCTCAACATCTCCATCTGGTGGCTTACTAAAACCATTGCCTTATTTTCTCAAATGTTAGGGAATTACTAAAAATGAATAACAAATAAGAAACAAAGGACATGAATGGCTTATCTGCTCCATGAATATTCAAGATTGCATTATGTCATCTTTTGACTTTTCTAACTCCTGAGAACTCACCTATACTAAAGTTTCAAATTTTAATTCTTACCCAACTAAAAAACCATTAAGGAGATGATTGCATTATGAAGTTTCTTATATGCAACCAAGGGCATTATGAATTTTTAGTTAGCTTTTCTGAGGTTAGCTAATAAAAAACATTCTGCTGTCCACTAAAAATTTAATATGGCTTATTATAAGTTTACCTAAAGTTTTCTATTAAATTGTTCTAGGTATAAATATTCATTGTAAAACAATCTTTTGAAGATATTTTTACAAAGGAAATGACATTCACCCCAAATCCCACTACTTAGAGATAATACACAATTTTACATTTTGGGTGTTATTTCCTTTCATCCTTTTTCTGTGCATATATATTTTTTCTCCTAACTTTAAAATATATTTCAACTTTTGTACACCTACATCAGTTTGCTACCAGCTCTGCAATCTTTTTTCTATTTTAAATTGTATATTTTACCTCTTTTATCTAATATTTGGCAAACAAAGGCTTCAGATTATATTGATGCTGACCACTTTTAGACAGCATAGTTCAAGTACAGGCTCAAAGGAACTCTCCTGTTTACTGTTTTGCTTTGAATCCTCTTCCTTATGATACTCAGCATTCCGTTGGTTCCTTTAACCACTTCGGTACTAGCGTTCGACTATACTCGATAGCCACAGATGAACACGCACAGCCCAGCATTGACTATAGTCAATAGCCACAGAAGAACGTGCACAGTGACTTTAGCCGACAGCCGTGATATGAAGGCGCACAGTTGTTAGCCGACAGCTGTGACATGACTTTTCTAATTTTTCATTTATTGAAATAAAATTGTGAACATTTAAAAATAACGTAATGAAAACATATATGTATATGTTACTTATTCTGATTTACAAGTAAAGCTGCCTGTAACGTAAAACAAGCTTTCAGTGCTTTAAAGCTTTCCTCATCACATAAGAGCAAAAAGGATTCGTTGTCAATGCACAGCACAAACTATCGTGCGGACTATGAGTGCCGGCTGTGGGCAAGGTTTCACGGTCGTTGAGTGCTGTACCGAAGTGGTTAAACACACCACTGGGTGTGTTTAACACACATACTGGGTTAAACACACATACTGGGTGAGGAATGACAGGTGTAAATCCCAGGTCCCTTCCTTATAATAGACATTATTCACTATATCATCATAAAGACTGAGTTGTTTTTCTTCAGTGATCCTTAACTGAAGATCATCAATTATTTTTCTGTTATTCATAGTAAAAATTTCCCAAGATTGATCTCCATCACCTTGGCATTTTACTACCATAAAGAGCATATCTAGAGATTTCACAACGTACTTCAACAGGTGATTTATAATTTTTAACAGATACACCGAAATATTATGACTTGTCTCAGTATTGATTCTTAGAAGACCACATGTTGTTAATACTTTTCCATATAAATCATCATCGCCCATTTACTTCAATTATCTGGATTCCTGACAAAACATTTTCCCATTTTCTTTAGTAACCAGTGGTGGAGAACCTTGTCAAGGTTGTTTGAAAGCCTAAATATTACATCCCTTGTTTCCTTACTCAAAGAACTCAGTTCATACAGGCAATCTCTTCGAAAATGTCTCAGTAGATGAGCTACTGGTGATGGACCTTGAGGAATGGGTAGGAGTTTAACAGATGGATAAGGAAGGAAAAGATGGGTCAAACATAAAAATAGCACCTGTAAGAGTATGGAGGAGTAAGGGTGCATAGCACATTTGGGAAAATGCAATGTGGCTGACATAGTATGAGGCCACGAGTGAAGCTGGCTGGGGAGGAAAAGCACAAGGAAGATTGCAATTGAGACCAATTGAGAATCGTTAAGAGCTACCATTTATGGAGAATGTGGTAGGTACTATGCTAATGCTTTACAAACATTTCTTTGAATCCTTTCAGTAATGAAAAACTTATAAGGCTCACTGTGTTCTAATCAACAGATTTGATTTTTCCAATTGCTTTCCAGTATGGCAGCTTGCCTTCAATTTGAGTAATAAACCCAGAATTTGGTTTTCCACATGCATCCAATCCTTATTCTGTAAAGCTGGAGTGTAGTGTTTTTGTCAGCTCAGCACCCTTCCCCTCCTTCTTTTGGTAAATGTCTCCATCCCTCTGGCCACAGAGGTGGGCACAGAGCCCAGATTGAGCCAATCATAGTAACTTATCCCCCACCAGGGCTTTCTGTGTTGGAGCCAGAGAAGTTTCCCTGCTTCTTTGGGGGATGTGAGCCAGGCAGGAGCTGCCATGTCCCCACCACGGGGACAAAAGCTGACATGCAGAGGGAGGCAGGGATGGACAGCGCTGAGCAAGTCCTGGAAGTCCTCTTTGTTTTGTCCTTTAAGCAGCGTGAGTTAGATTTGTCCCTTGTAATCCAAGAGTATCTTAGTGGATAAGAATAAATTTTGTAGAGACTTAGGTGGAAAAGCCGGCTCTGTCACTTAGTAGTGAGACCTTAGGTGAGGCATTAAACCTAGTTAGGCCCCAGATCCTTCACTAGCAAAATGGGGATGTGGTGTGGATGACATGAGATTATGAACTTAAGCATTTAACAGAATGTGCTCAGTAACATGCAACTGTTATTAGGGCACGTGAACGGGGAGAAGCAGTAAGACTGACAAGAAGCCCCCTTCACTTTCCCTTAACAACCAAGGCTTTGTGCTCCTGACTCCATGAAGTCTGGGATTTACTTTAAAATTTATCAATAAAGAAAAATAGATTAAAAAGATAGAAATATGCCAAACTCTTGATAATTATTGAACAGATAAGAATTCATCTACTTGTCTCTCCACTTCTAAAATTTTCATAATCTTTTTTAAAGAAAGATCTGTTGAGATTTATCAGGTGGTTCCTCTTTTGGGTCCTGGTGACGTCGTGAATTGTACTGATTTTCAAGAATTGGGTCAACCTTGCTTGCATTCCAGGAATGGAATCAGCTTGTCCATAAAGTGTGGTTC